CAAAACACGCTGTTTGAAGATATCACATTGGGAAATTGTGATGGGTATGTTTAATTATTTTCTGATGCATTTTTCTGAATACCCAATGATTAATTGATCAATTGAGAAAATACTCATCAGATTTTAAAGTGCAAACATAATATTGGACGCTGGTAAATAATTATCATTGGTTTCTAGTATCACATGCATGTATTGTATGTCAATAAAATTCAGAGCTTGTGGAATAGATCTAGCACATCTTGAATTTTGATCCTGCCCACATAAAAATCTGCCTCGTCTATTAATTCTGGCCCGCTGTGTTGGAGCCAGGATCAGTGAGAATACAAGCTCTGGCTGCCTCTCAAGGTGTGCTATTGTACCCCACATGATAAACAGATGCAGCTGTCATCCCCACATTCTCCAATGCAGCCTTTACTGCCCTTACCTCACTAGCACCTAAGGAAGCTGGAGAGCTACAGTCAAAATGGCTTAAAATGGAAGGATGATGCTGAGGGCAGACAATTTCAGGAGAAGAAGTAGAGGAAACTCAGAATAGGCCTTTCAGACCACACACTGGTAAATTATGGAGAGACGGACGTTTAGAAAGACTTTGAAAACAATCTGGTGCTCACATTAAGGCTTTTCAAATGGTAACAAACACTCACAGCCCACAACTTTAGTGAAAGTGGGATATACATACACATTCAAGCAGAAGTTAGCAGGAGACTGTGAGCTTTAGATATTCAGATTTGAACTCTTAATAGGTGCACTTGCATTTGATGAAGAGACCACAGCAGGCGTACTCTGAGAAACTCTGTTGAGATGTATTTGATACAGCAATTAACTAGTTCAAATACAATGACTTTGCAGTTTAGTCTTTATTCTAAGCTGGACTAATGACCTACCATTAAAAATGGTGACACATCGCTGCAACTGTTCATCACCAGTCCTGTTGTCACTCTCCAGGTGTTATTTTTCTTGACTACATGTCACACACAGCCAGTAATGTATAATGTTTAAACATTTGATGTTTAATATGGTAAAATATGATGTACATTAATGTATTGCCCTCAGCTTTATTTTCTTATGTGTGAGGTGTCAGGCAGCTTTTTTAAAAACACATTGAGCATCCTTACTGTAATATTTACAGTAGGTAACCTAAGATGGTAAAATGCATCGGCCAGTGTCCTGTTTCATGGGAAACGAAATTTAACCCCAAATCACAAGTTTGAAAATGCACACTTGGGCCATGCTATATGTTAAGGAGTCAAGTCAGCTTTTTGAACATGCATGCAAATCCTTCCTCCTCATCATGTTACTTTCGGTGCACGCAGGCGGAAAGACAGACACATGTAGGCGACTCGCCGAGCCTGATTATTAAAGATTATAGTTGGCCTCAGCTCAGTCGCTGCATGTTAGCTAACGTGCCGAGTGATCGGCCCCACAAGCTAAATGTCCCGAGAGGGTTTGACCCGCAACTCAACCGAAACACCAGCAGCTAAGACGTAACGCTTGGTCAGTCTGCAAGGGAGATGTCAGTGGGGAGACTGACGCTGACCGAGATTTTGTTTCGCTAATCCGCAGTCTGCACAGCTACGACGCAAAGCATTACAGAAAGGTTCAGTGAAATTCAGCGAATGTTATTTCAACATGTCGCAAAGACCGACCGTCATAATCATGTTCTGCAAAGAAATAAGGGCAACTGGTTCCATAGTGTAGCGGTTATCACGTCTGCTTTACACGCAGAAGGTCCTGGGTTCGAGCCCCAGTGGAACCAACAAACTTTTTCTGTTCTGAAAACTCGTCCGCCAGTTCCTAATGCTGAATTCATAAAATTAATCGATCGAAATTGACATGAGCGACATCAACAGGGCAAAGTTGATGACGAGATGTCAGAGAGGTAATGTAATTATGTGTCCCTCTCTGCATGTTGTCTTTTTCTCTCTCTCTCTCTCCCTCTGTGTGTGTTCGGTGTGCTTGAGCTTTGCCTCTTAGTGTTTGTGTAGTCTGCCCTCTTCCAGGTCTCCACTGTGAAGAGCAGGTCATGTGGCTAAGGTCCAATCTGTTTGGCAACACCTGAAGTTGTTCGATGTCCAACCGGATCCACATCCTTCATATATGTTTACAATCTATTTATAATTTTGTCATCTTGATTGTCCATGCTAAATTTACAATATTGGTCTATCTGTATACAATTAATGCATGTCTGTCCATTCTGGGAGAGGGATCCCTCTTTTGTTGCTCTTCCTGAGGTTTCTTCCATTTCCTCCCACGTAAAATGGTTCTTATGAAAATCGAGGGTCTGAGGCAAATTTGTGATATTGGGATGAATACATAAAAATTGACTCAGTGTCTAATGTTTTGCCATTTACAAACACAAAGGAGGCAGAATATTAGAAACACATTTCAATATAATGCAGTCTAGTACAACACCACCATTAACGACGACCTCTGTAAATAAACGTTAAGTAAAACTCTCTGACAGTGTCAACAAAAACTGAATATTATAATCTTCCTAAATATACAATATAGATCCATTGTATTGTATTGCTTAATATTCACAGGTGTACCTACTGTAATGGAGTAGCCAGGGACTGTAGCCTATATTATTTTGTGATTTGAGTGAAATAACGCATTGACTGACTTTTGTTGACCACTTGTCATGTCAATGTACAGTATTTACAACAAAGAATCGATTTATGGCATTTTATATACAAAACATGTTACATACAGCAGTAGTTTTTTATATGTTGTATGCATCCATAATTATTCATATAAATTGTATGCCATGTCTAATCCTTACAAGGTTGTTTTATATAAGAGCATACGGCCAGTTTGCCTTTTGTTTCGTGGCCTGTCCCTAATACTCAGCCTACTCCTAAACAATATATTGTTTTTTCCATAAATTAGTAGAGCTGCAATGATTAGATTAATCGATTAGTCTACAACTATTTTGATAATCGATCAATAATTTTAGTAGGTAAGTTGAGCTTATTATTTATGAAGCACTTTTAAAAACTGGGTTACATATTGCTTCTAGGTTAAAAATAGAATATAAAAGTATCGTCTTAAATAAATACAACAAACATAAGCAAAAAAAATAAGAACAAATCAGGGCAAGAAAGCGTCAAACCTTGGGCTGTGGTAAATTATAAACGCCATTTTTTGACATTTTATAGCTATTAATCGATAAATTGAGAGTTGCAGCCCTAATAATTAGCCTTACCACATCAACTGTACACAAAAGGAAAATCTGCCAACTATTGCTGCTGTTTGCGTTCTTCAAGCGACTGGTGTTTTTGGAGTTTACATTAACAATGAATGGTATCCTTAAAATATTTAGTATGTTGATGTTTTATGTAGTTGGTGAATTGAAAATAACAAACAAGATAAACCTTTTTTTAGGAGCTATACAAGGGTAACTATAGGTAAATATAATCATGTGGCATGGAACAAAACCTTAAACTTCTCCAACTTGCTGGTAAGCCCAAATCCATCATTTATATCACTTGAATATTAAGGTATATTGATTCTGCAAATATACCCCTAGAACTTAACTCTTATGTTTATATCTGTTATGTTCATACCACCAAAGTCTGATCAATTCTTTCATGGCCCAAGGCCTACAGTGCCCACCAACAAACTGTTTCAGATAAAGACAAACAACAACTTAGCAATGGCCTTGGCAGAAAGAAACAACTACAAGCTCACAGCACATGTAGTCAACCAAGCGATTTGTTGACATAAAGCTAAGCATGCCCAAAATAATATGGGGAAAATACTGATATTATACCATTTGCTGATATCCTGGCACATCTGTAGAAATTAGTTTATGAGTTTTCAAAATAAAGAGATAGACACTCAATCAAACACTGAAAAAATAACTACTGTAAATGTCCAGAGTGTTTTAAGCAAATAGATGTGGAGGCCGGATGTGCCACTGCAATATTAGACTTAAATGGTGATACAATGTTCCTGAAACAATTCAATAACTATAAACTATACAATAAACTACAGTCAACTGACAGGGGCTCTCATAGGTTAGAGTAATGAGCAAGAAGAAGACCCTATCACCTCAGCTGACCACTAAAAGCTCCTGTTATTTTTCTGTTGGTTGCACATTGATTAAACAAGGTGTCTAGGTAACTGTAAGTGATAAAGTGTGGATGAAACAAAAACAATCTTTATGGTAAAACGGGAGGTAAAGTAATTGTGAGATCCATTCACAATTTATCCATCTTTTAAGATTTTTTTTTTTAAATTAAAGTAACTTAAACCATATTCTAAATGTATCAATTAAGTAATCCATTATAAGTAACCATGGGAACAGGTGTGTGATAGTCTATGTGTACCAGCCACCATACTTTATACCGTTATACTTTACTACAGGTTCACTACATACATATTTATATATTTAGCCAAATAACAGTTTCCTGAGGACAGTCCATGCCTTGTATGGATAACAAGTAAATAAATTCAGTTTTGGTTGATATTAAAGACTTCATTTACATGTGCCTGGTCTCACATGAGATCCAAACGTATGTATTTTATCAGACTTCACGTGTGGTAACTGTTAACTGGCATTCCCCATGGCTAACTTACATTAACATTAGTTAGCTAATAAGCAATTTAAAGATGACATCCCAAAATAATCACTCACCAAATCTTCTATTGCAGGAAAACTTGATCTTCGTAAGCAGATCGGACGAGTCTACTGACTTGTTTTACTTTCATCTAAATAATTAACGTTAAGTTACCAGTTCATAGCATTTCATATTTGTGTCATAGTGCTGGGAGGCGAACCAAACCAGTAAGTTAGCTAACTCGCGGACAACAGCGCCATCTATTACCACTTTGCGCTGACCACTTTGACCGTCATCAGTGAAGCCCGCTTTCAGATTGTTATATTTGCTATAGTTGCTACATTGCTAGTTTATTATTAAAACTAAAATAAAAAAAATAGGTGTCAACTGTGAAGAGGTGAGGAAAGGTCGCGCTGTTGGTATTTGAATGTGGCCTTTTGCCACAAACGGATACACATTCTAAGTTCCTGGTGTCACATTCATTTGTGTCCCCAAAATGGCGAACGTAGCTGCCGCTGCGGCTGCTGCTGCCGCTGCCGCCGCCGCCGCGAATAGAGACCCAGCCGTTGATCGTTCATTGCGGTCTGTGTTTGGTAAGTTTGCAGCAGTTACTTGCTCTGTTGTAGGCAGTTTTTTCCGTTTGCCAAATAATAAGTGGATGCAGCACCGGCTAACTTAATGAATTAGAGCTTGCTAACAGAGATAGTCGGCTAGTGTTGCCGTTAGCAAGGCAGCAGCTCAAACTTACCGCATCCACATGAACAACGAGAAAACAAATCTTTAAGTGAAAAAGTGAGCTCATTTTAATTGTCATATTAACATTTGTCATATCTCATATTTATTTTAGTGGGGAACATTCCGTATGAAGCCACAGAAGAACAGCTGAAAGACATATTTTCAGAAGTCGGGCTTGTTGTCAGCTTCAGGTGAGTGAAATTACTAGTATCGTTGATTATGTGCTGCATAACGTTACAAAAGTCGGTTTTTTGTCCGGTGTTTAAACACCGGGGTCTTAACGTTTTAGATGTTGTTATTTTCCCCGTGGAAGATTGGAATGCATGTTCCCTTTTTTTTAATCAACTGTAAACATGTGGACTAGTATCAGACACGATCACATGTGTCTTCTTGTTCTCAGGTTAGTATATGACAGGGAGACAGGAAAACCAAAGGGATATGGCTTCTGTGAATATCAAGACCAGGAGACGGCCCTCAGTGCCATGCGGAACCTGAACGGGAGAGAGTTCAGTGGTCGGGCTCTTCGTGTTGACAATGCAGCCAGTGAGAAAAACAAGGAAGAGCTCAAAAGTAAGCCTTTATTTCAAACTAAGATGTATTTGATTCGACTGAAAGATGTTGGTGCAAAGCTACAGTACTCTGCTCTTTCTGTCTTGCACAGGTTTGGGAACAGGAGCACCCATTATTGAGTCTCCTTATGGAGACAGCATCCAGCCACAGGAAGCCCCAGAGTCCATCAGCAGAGCTGTGGCCAGTCTGCCACCTGAGCAGATGTTTGAACTTATGAAACAAATGAAGGTAGGCTATTTTACTGCCTCAGTTTTTTACTAGCACATAATACGGTTCCTTCTTGCTTGGGACGCAGATTGTTGTTACATTCCAGGTCTAATTGAATCTATCCTCTCAATAGAGGTATTTTAAATAGATTAATTTAGCACTTACAGAGTGAAGTGTCACTACTTTGATATAGTCCAGCCCTACCTCCTTGTATGTTTCATTATGTTAATCAAATTGACATGTGTGCATCACAGTTATGTCGTGTTCTGTCCTTCTTGTCCTTGAGGCTGTGAAGAACTCTCTGAATAGTTCCCTCTGTTTTGTTATTGGTTATGATGCTCTAGTAAATAATTTAGTTTTTGACTCTTGACCATTATTACTTTGACTAAATCATTGTTGTGTTACTTTACCAATTTTCAACTTATTTTATTTATTGGTTATGAGGCTGTTATAAGCTCACAGTTCCTGTCAACTCACAGTCAGGTGTCACTCATTAGCTGGATTACTGACCTGTTATGAACTGACATTCAACAACTTTAGAATTGTAATAAAATGCTTTTTGTATCTTTTACCAGGCAAGCCTACTTGTGCATATTTATATAATCCACAATAAATCTTGAATACATTCACACCAATTTCAAATATTCTGTAAATGTTCACTACACCCACATTTGAAGCTAATGAGAAACTTTGACAGGCTGATAAATAAAAGTAGTGTAGTACAAAAAAATGTTCTTTTTGACCGAAAGCTTTAATGGGCAGTTATGGTGCCTAAGCTCTGGTATTATGAATTGATCTCTGGAACTTGTGCTTCAGTTGCCTTTATGTATTATTCTGTTGAATTTAGGTTCAGATCTTTGTGTAACAGTACCATCTCCCCAGAACAGGGCTGAAGAAATAGTGCCTGGCCTTTACATATTGCAGCATTTCACCATTTTGATGCTAGATGGCTGCTGCTGTTAAGGCGGCCAAAATAAAATGAGGGCTTTCTGTCAAAACTTTAAAACCAAAATGTGATTGAACATACTGAATGTTGCTCAGGCTTTCAAAAATGGAAATGTACCTAGATGGAATTAAAGAAGGTAAAGTAAGAGATCCAATGTAATTAAATTATAGTTTTTCCAACAAGTCAAATTCTCTGACTGTATCTTTAATTATTTTTACTCTCTCTAGTCTAGTCTCGTTCTTCCTTTCCGTTAACAGTCTATCTTTCTCAACTCTGCCAGAGAAGCCTCATCTTTGCACATCTGGCAGTCTGCTTCATTAAGCTCAAAGAAACGCCACTCTGCAGACGTTTTCCTTCCGACTGGAAAAGTGTTTTGTTGCACCAAAGCTTTTGTCAGTAGGACAGCTCCATATGCTGATTAGAGTGTGAGTGTCCGGGCTCCGATCCTGATACCACAGATATTGTTTGCACGTCTTTTGTTTAATGTTTTGTGCTGATGCAGCCGCTTTAGTTGGTTGTGGATGTCTATCTGAATCATAATTGGGTAACAAAAACTACAGGGGGATGTCTAACTTGTCAGGAACTAAAAGCACACAAGGTTTTTTTTAATGAGTAGTTATTTTTATGTAAAAGGGATTGAATCCAAAGTTTTGTTTTTTGCTCTGCCCAGTTGTGTTTTTTGATGCTGTCAATAATATCATATTTCTGATTTCTCTCCCTCCAGCTGTGTGTGCAGAACAGCCCCCAGGAGGCGAGGAACATGCTGCTGCAGAACCCTCAGCTGGCCTATGCTCTGCTGCAGGCCCAAGTGGTCATGCGGATTGTTGACCCTGAGATAGCCTTGGTGAGAGTAATAGTAGTAATGAGTTAATCCAGGGGTGGCCAAGCTACGGAACAACTGCGGCCCACTGCCCGATTTTAAATGCCCGGCGGTGAATTTTTAAAACTAGTAGTGAACCCTGTCATTGCACTCCTTAGTTTGAACACTAGAGCCGCTGTAAATTTGAACAATTACTTGACCTACAGTCAGGGTCTGAAATTAGCGCCCAGGAAAAATCGTTGGGTGGTGATGGTGCAGTAGATAAGACACATGCCTTTGGTGACCCGGGTTCAATTCCCACTGTGACACAACCACCAATATGTCCTTGAGCAAGACACTTAACCTATAGTTGCTCCAGAGGCATTAACCTCTGACATATATTGCAATTGTAAATCGTTTTGGATAGAAGCGCACTTATTTGTGCGCTAAATAAAGGAAATATCTGAGTGGCTTGCCACAGTGGCAGGTAGTGAAAAATGTTAGACCCTGCCTACAATGATGGATTACTAGTTTATTAAAACATTTACCTCAGTTGATTAAACATGGCGGAACCAAAAAGACAAATAACAAGTAAAACGGTGAAAATTTCAGACTATGGATTACTATAGACTACTATATCCGTGATGTCTTAAATTTTTCTGTATATGGCCCATAGTCAAAAACGTTTGGCCACCCCTGGGTTAATGTGACTGTCACCTTGTCATTAGTCAAAGGAGATGGAAAGTTATTCTGCGCTTTAGAGTACAAATTTTTGAGAAGTGCTCTTCCATTTCATTCATATACAGAAAATGCTGCACCGTCAGACTCCAGTCCCGCCTCTCATTCCCAGCGGGCAGGGTGGAGGAGCACCGCCTGTCAATCCACCTCCTGCACAGCCCAGCGTGCCAGTGCCTCAGCCGCAGCCTGTGGTAAGTGGAACAGTCTTTCACTCTCTCTACAGTAAAGGTCACATTACACTTCTTTTCAATAAAATAGTCCCGCACTCAGCTCCAGAAAAAGACGTGAAGTCACAGCTCTGATGCGGGAAATGAATGAAGAATGGCGAGTGCAATCAAAACTGTAAACAGTGTTTGAGAGCTTCTTATCTGGAATGTGATCATTTATTTAAATATTTTCTATATGTTGAAGAAACAAAGTTGGTCAAAGATGACCTGCTAATCCACGAGAGCAGGAAACACATGCTTTAATCTGTCCATTAGAAGTGAGTGGCAGATGGCACAAATATTCAGTGGACAGTTTAATGTGACCATAGCTTAACCCGTTTATATTGTATTGTAGAGTAGTGGTTTACATCCCATCATGCAGTCTCTTTCCACTCTGTAATCTGCATTTCCCTAGACGTGAGTAAATTTAATCATATCATACCTTCTTCAAGTCGAGAAAGATGGGATAGTAACGGTGTTTTTTTGTTAGTTATTTTTTTTATAAGGTCTCAGAATGAATAACATATTAGATTAATTCTGTAGGTTACATTATTTGTTTCCTTTATTTATTTATTTATTTTGTCATTTGTTCAGCCTGGGATGCATGTCAATGGGGCCCCTCCGATGATGCAGCCCCCCAACATGGGTGTTGTCCCTGGACCAATGCCTGCACCAGGACCTGCACCAGGACCGGGTCCAGGACAAGTGGGACCTCCAGGTAATCATCAAACTGCTTGTGTACTCACATCACCAACTGAACTGGCTGTGGCAACATCACTTTTATGTTCCAAAAATCAATTACTGAGGTCATTGATGGTTAATGTGAGAGGTGTGACTGTTTCATGGCACCCGTTCCTCATGCAGAATGAACACAAAGTGATTGTTTACCAAATCTTCATTCCACTATTAAATCGGCGGCAAACGTCTGCCACTACAGTCTGTAATTCTGGAGGCTTACAGCAGTTGTTTTTGGCGCGTGTGTGTATCTGCTCAGTTGATTCCACACACGTGTCATGCTGTAGTTTCCTCTGGTTTATTAGTCTCTGTTGTGATTTGCCATCTGTATGATAAGATGTGCAACATTTTTAAGGATTAAAGATTTAGGTATATGTTATGTTTGACAAATAGTACTAGAGTTTGTAATGAAAATTAGGACTGCAATTAACAATTTTCATTGTCCATTAATCTGGGGATCATTTTACTCGATTAATTGATCGTTGTTTGGTCTATAAAATGGTAAAAAGTGTTTCCCAAATCTCAAGAGGATGTTTTCAAGTGTCTTGTTTTGTACACAACCCAAATATATTAAAGTTACTGTCGCAGAGGAGGAAAGAATCCAGATATTGATAATTAAGAAGCAGAAATCAGAGAATCTTTACTTTGTTTTTTCATATATATATATATATATATATATATATATATATATATAACACACGTTAATGATTATTCAGGAACCAAAACTACAGTCATACATTTTTATTCAGTTATTTCAGCATACATTTGTATAACTGCACTTATTCTGACCTCAACTGTAACTGCAGCGCGTCCATTAACAGAGATTTGGCTAAAATACAAAAAAGAAATGATCTTCTTGTTAGAATGAATGAATTACCTCATTTTACATTAAAGCTTTGCAGGTGTCATGGCTCACTGGGATCACTAGGTGTCACCAGAGCCCTGTAATTAGTCGTGGTGCTTTATTAGCGGCACAGAATTATCAACTTGACTCTTGAGGATCTTATTTTAACTCTCCCTAAATGTTAGTCATTCTATTGTTGTCTCTGTTTCTGCCTTCATCTAACATATTTCCTAACGTTAAGTTCCCTCTTCACCCCCCTGTGTGTGTGTGTGCGTGTGTGCGTGTGCATGCGCGCATACAATAATGTCATGAGCATGCTTCAAAAGTGCTGCTTTGGTCTCTTGAGTCTTGTGTCTCCTGTTCTTCTCACTTTAATGCTGGCTCAGGAAACCTTCAGCATTCTCCCACAGGATCGTCTGGACAAGCTGCTATCGAGCGGCCTCAAGGTATCACTGTGCTCCGTCAGTTCTCCAGTCAGGTCATGGGACTGTTATGGAGAGGCCAAATGTACAGCTCTTCTGGGATTTAGTGTTAGCTTTCTGCAGTTTGTTCAACTGCATTGAACACTATAAATATGAACCCCTTTTACCTTTATACATTCAGCCATTAAAGTAGTTATTGAGTCTGTATGTATAAAGATTATGATCTCTGAGCTTTATCATAACTAAAGCAGGATGTGTGGTGAGGGTGGGGGGATGGGGATGACTCCTCGTTTGACCAGATAAGGGTTTTTTGGGCAGGTGCCAGGAGTAGAAGTAAAACTGTTAATGTGACTCGGAACCCAAATGTGCAAAATAGTAAGTAAATAAATGTAGTAAGTTGTGTGTAGTGCATTGTAGATAGTTTTAAATTCACAGGACCTTCAGTTCAGTGTTGAAATAGGAAAACTATAAACTTTTGTGAGAGGTGTGAATTTGATATTTCAACAGTGCCGTTGTCAGAACATGTAGTATACATACACTAGTTGCTTGTGTTTAAGTAAGTTTGTCAACACCAGATGATGGCTTTCTGCCATCTGCACTCTTTTAGTTTTTAGTAGACTTCATTGCGCAGCTTGGTGGCTGTCAATACAGAGGAGGAATTAAGATACTCTGTGAAGGAGGTTGAAAATGCTTGACAGGCCTCATCACCTCGTCTAGTTGACTCATTGTCAACCTGCTCAGTGTGACCTGCAATACATGTGCAGGTGTGACTCTGAGCTCGAGGCAAGTCTGAGCCAGTCGTTGGAAATGGTACAACTCTGACAGTTGACCTGCATCCGACAGGTTAAGAGCTTGGTGAACCAGTCCTGGTGCCGTAGTAAACCACAAACACTGATTCTCTGTGTAGCTGAATTGTGTGCAACAACAAACATTGTCCATGCTGAAAGGTGTGCTTGTTTGTGGTGGGGCTGTGTTGTTATCACCTTTGTGAATGTTTTGTCTTTGTGCTTCTTTTCTTCTGATGCTCTGCACGAGCTAATCTCATTTGACAGAAGACAAATTTAAACCTCCCCAGGCATTATTAAATTGCTTTGACTCTGGGGGTTACTTTGCAGAGTCTGCTATTTGTAGTTTGTGAAAGTTTGGAAGAGACTGTCATCAATCCATACTGATGGACGTGGACCACAGGAGATCTCCTGTTGTTCAAGACATGATGTAAAATAGATGTTGAGGCCACATGTTGGGGTGGAGGCATGTTTTTTTTGTTAGTTTTTTGTTGTTGCCTTTTTTTATTCTCATTTTCTGTGTTTACGTTCTGTTTTTAGGCTTTTTGTTTACCAACTGATTTAAAATGAGACATACTATTTAGAGTTCTGAAAATGTAATTTATTGATATTCACACCTGGCAGATTTTCACAAAACTCCTACTCCTTTTCTGAATCAGTAGAAATTCACATGAAGGCATTCGGTTCAGACTTGTGATGTTTTTTATTAGAGATTCTTTAAAACGTATGACTGTAGTGTCTGGAAAAAGAAGAATATAGTGACATTTGACACCTAATGAGAGGTCTGTCCTTGAGTCTTGGTTTTGTCGATTTTGAAGTCATTAGTTGCAGCAATTCAACCAAACCACATGTGAGATGACAGCAGATATAAGGAAATGAATGTGTTCACTGGCATGAACGGATCTAAACCTGCCTAACTGCAATTTATTCAAAAATTGTGTGCTGTTGTTCACTTTGGGTAGTAACACTGTAGATAGTCATGCAGTTAAAACAATTTAACACTGACACACCGATTTTACTTCTCTCTTTCTGCATGCTTCCCATCATGATGTTTTCATGGCCAAATAACACCAGAGTTACAGGACACAAGTAGGAAAATATTCAGACCTTCTTTATCTGTGTGGGAATTTGTTTTTGTTTTTTTTACAGATGGCATTTCATGTGTTTTGAACCTATAACCTCCCTCTTAATGTGGATTCACTTTTTCCTGAATTTTTGTGTTCCTGATCCCTCTCTTGATATTTCCCCATGTGTGTTGACATCAGGCTGTGGCAGTTTGATGTGGCTCTGGTTGTTTCCTGAGATATCTATCCTGAGCACTCATCCTTTCATAGTTGTAGCAGTAGCTGTGTGTGTGTGTGTGTGTGTGTGTGTGTGTGTGTGTGTGTGTGTGTCCTTTACCTGGAGTTGCAGCCTGTTCACAGTTAAAGCCTATTATTAATGGTTTAGTCATGAAACATTTCCTGCTCAACGAATAGAAAAAATTCCTAGTGTTTTTATGTGGTTGAATGTGTGACTTTCTCTCCCAGGACCAGGTGGTATCCCTCCTAGGGGCCTGCTGGGAGATGGTCCTAATGATCCCAGAGGAGGAACTCTGCTGTCAGTGACTGGAGAGGTCATCGAACCCGCGTAAGATGTTTACTCATATCACATAAATTTAAAGTCCATTAAGACTGAAATATCCAAAATACATTTAAGTTATAATCATTGAAATCTCATGCCTTTAATACAACAGATCCAGGAAATGTGGAGGCGGTAAACACTTGATGAGCAGCTAGTTTATTAGTTTGCAGTGTAGCCAAACAAACTTGTGTTTTTAATAAAGATGTCAATCAGTAATGACACAGGCAAACTAGTTTTCCACACAACAGCAGGGCACAGTAAAGGAGTGCTAAGGAGTTGGAGGTGCGCAGCCTGTCGCCTGAAGCTCCTCATCAGCTCACTGTGGCTGCTCCATCTTGTGCCATCAGTCAGTTGCAAAAAAAAAATTGTCTGCTGATGAAAACAATGCAGAAAATTACAGTTTTGTTGATTTGTGTTTCCTTTAAGTGCTTCCCAATAAAAGCTACCCCATGCAGCAGTTGTAAATAAACCATTGACATCGAGCAAAACAGTTGTTTAATATAAATCTGTTTCCTTTTAGGATTTTTTTTTTATCAGCAGCCAGGGCAGGCCCACCCCCATTTCCAATTTATTTTTAATTTTTTTTCAGTTAATTCGAGCTTTTGTAAAACATAGATGACGTTTTCTATATGTTCATGCAAATGGATTTTCACTCGGAAAGGTTTTATTGCATGAGTATAGCTGTTGTCAATTTGGGGTTACCGTCACTTCACTGTCTCCACCATGACTGGCTGCTGTGTATGTGCGTGGTTGGGGTGTGTGTGAGTGCCGAAAGTGAGCAGACAGAGGCTGCAGCCTGATAATAAACACTATCCCCAGGCCTGTTTAACACCTTGTTTCGGTGCCCGTCCCTAAACAACGTTAGTTTTCTTATTCGTTGTGTCTACACTGTCGTGTCAAACTAAAAGCCTTCGCAGAGTCCCTTAATTGTGACTTCATGACATTTCATAAAATTCTGAAGAATTGTTTGTGCATGTAAAGGAAATTTTACTCTAGCTGTGGTGGACTCATCTACTAACATTGAAAAGTACCATACTGAGAGGTAATGACTGAATGTAAATACATCAAATGGCTATTGCTGAAACATTGCAGATCCTAAATAGTATAAAATTATTTGATTTCAAACGCAACATTTTTAAATGCCAAAAAACTGTAATAGTGATTTTGCCAATTAAACTTAATAACTGGAAAACTTGCAATATAAATTTATTTTGTGTCTGTGTGTATTTAGCCGCAGCTACATGGGCGCTCCACCACCACACCAAGCCCCACCTGTACATATGACCCAAATGGCAAGTGGACCCCCTCCCGATATGAGAGGACCTCCAATGGACATGAGAGGCCCACCCATGGGCGAACCACGAAACATGATGGGTGACCCCAGAGGGCCCCCAAATGATGGAACCACGGGGACCCCCGATGGAAACCAGAGGTAGCTGCTCTAATAATGCCTCATAGTTTGAGAACCTGAACTTAATCTAGTTTAAATTCATGTGCGATTGTGTGCATGTAGTTAACATTTAGTTTTTGTAACAGATCTCAGTTTAGTTTCAGTTCCAGCTGGCAGACAGACCAAAAGCCACGGAACCAAACAAAAGTCTTTTGTCCTAGCAACACCATTGTTATGTAACTTTAGACAGACATTTAACCAGAGTTGTTGTGTATGTAATGGACACTTGAATGATTCACTCAGTATTCAGTGAGGTGTGATTGGCAAGTGTGGTTTTGTTTCCTTCTGCAGGTCGCGACCCGAGAGGGATGGACGCTCGTGGTCCAGTGACAGGACAGAGGGTTCCCATGGCGGCAGGGATGCAAGGCCCTGTTCCGCATAGCATGGGTCCCAACGCTCCTCCTCCTGCAAGACCGGTAACAGTTGCATCTAATGCCTTTGTCAAGTTTTTTTATGTTGGCTGCCCAAAGTTATTTTTTTCTATCTTATGAAACTGGCTATGTGCAATTAAAAAAAACTTTCAAGACTTCTCTTTTTCTTGTTTTTGTAGAATACAAAGTATCTAATTTTGATATATCACAAGGATTTTAACCTGTTTTCCTTTTTTTTTTTTTTTTTAGCCTATAAATACTGATCAAATGGACATAAACTTGTCCTTAAACATTATAAAAGCTATGTAATAGGAGGGAAGAAAGATGCAAAAGAAATGGTCCTTTCTGCTCATATTGGACAGTCATTACCCCTCTGATAAATAGTGTAAACTAGCAGTATGTTTGACCTGCAGGGTCCTGGTATTTCTGGTGTTCCTCCATCGGGAGGAGGCTTCAGTCCGGGGCAGAGCCAGGTCTCCACACAGGACCAGGAGAAGGTGGGTGTCACTTTATCTGTCAGCCCTGTATTATAACAAACTGGACAAAGAGTCGCTTTGAATTGCCTTCATAACAATCTCTAAATATTTAATGTCTGCTGCCAGGGAAGAGACATGCACATGACGACACACATCAAAGCGACTTTGATCTGTAACCAGAAGTTCTCTGGGTCATCAGCAGCTTGTTGAAGTGCCTCTGAGCAAAATGCTAATCCTTTATTTTGCTTGTTCATTCACTGAAGTGACACCTTAGGGGAGGAGGAGAGCAGGGCGTATGGAAATGCTGCATCAATTGTTTGACTTCAACAATAGCTGTTGATGTTTCAACACAATAAAGGCTTCTCATGTTTCTGTGTTACCCAAGAACACCAGTGAAGACACGCAAGAAACTTTCCTCATTCCATCATTTCGATGGCAGAAAAGCATGTTTTACCTACAGTATGACAATTAAATGTAATACATGCCTTTTGATTGTCCCTCTCTAGGCCGCCCTGATTATGCAGGTCCTGCAGCTGACCCCAGAACAAATCGCTATGTTGCCGCCGGAGCAGCGGCAGAGCATCCTCATCCTCAAAGAGCAGATTCAGAAGACGGCAGGTGGGGCACCTTGATGGTCTGACGGAGGGAAAAGCCTCAAAAGGTTTCAGGTAGGCCAAGATGGAAGTTTCTTTATTTCCTTCACTTCACTGCAGTTTCCATCCTTCCAGGAAATTCACAGATTCTTAAGCATTCTTGTGTCGTCATGAAGCAACTCTGTCATTTCTTAAACACGATTCTGTTTTCTTTCCTTCTTCAGGACATGCAAACTGCTCCACCCATGTCACCTTCAGCTTGAAGACCTGTCATTAGTTTGGAATATTGTAGGTTTTTTTAATCATACTGTCTTGTTTTCTGTGTGAAAGAGTAAGGTTTGCTTTTAAGGCAACAATGTAGGTGAATGCTGGACAGATAAAAAAGGCCGGAGCTGGAACGTCACCGGGTTTCATCCTTTTCCTCCAAAGCTGACTGTTTTCATGTTATTGGCTCTGGTTTGTCTTGATATTGTTTTGTCAATAAAAGAGGGGGAAAAAGACATTGATTGCCTTTATTTCTTTATTCATAAGCAGTTTGGAAATATAATAAAGGTGAATAATTGTGAAATAATACAAATCCCTTCAATAACTATAAATCCTTCCACGTCTGTAGAGGATGATAAATCACGGGCTACGTGACTGCAAGTCTCCCTCCTAGTTAACCATCATCTTATTCTGATAAGGAAATGCCAGTGAATTTGATTGGTTATAATACAGATCCACTGATTCTGAGGAATTTGTTTCCTTAATCAGTAAAACCTAGGAAAATATATGACAAATTTTTGTTTACCACACATTTATCACATCAATCACATGTATTAAATAATGCAACATTTATTATTATTATTTACAGTGTATTTGATCATGAGCAAGTGGGGAAAAAAATATGCTAAAGAAAGATAAGAATATGCTGAACTGAAACAGCTAGTTGACTGGCAGAAAAAAACAATGTGTTACCTGATTTAATAGTAATTTTTCAAGAAAAATACCACAAATTTGCTGGCTCCAGCTTCTTAAATGTGACACTTGGCTGCTTTTCTTTGTCTTGCGTGAAGGTAAACGGAATCTTTTGGGGGTGTTGGACTGTTGGTTGTATCTAACAATGTAGTTCAGGAGCTACAAGAGCTTCACCAGAAATGCAGCTTAAAAGTTATGACGCATGGCTATACAAACATTGTGTTAAGAAAGTCAGTCCCTGAGGAGTGCTGATAAAATAACATGCCTCTTTATCAGTGTGCTGGTCTAGTGTACCAGAACTCACCTGTCTAGTGGGCCAGATTGTCAGACAGCTTTTTCATCACCAATTGTTTTACGAATATTCCTTCACAGTGAAAAAAAATCACCCCTCCCGCCTACCAAGTGTTACCCTTCAAAAAGCCCAAATGCTGTTTTCCTGTTGAGTTTTCGCTCAGAAGTTCTCCTTGTTGAAGTAAAATCTGGTCTTCCGAGGATCCATGTCGGAGTATTTAGCACATTTCTTTTCCAAGACTTCTGCCAGAACTGCAGGACCACACAAGAAAGTTCCCACCACAGACCTGAAAACATTAGCAAAAACACGATGAAGACTTAAAGTCTCAGTGATGTAAAGTAACATTTACTCAACTTGTACTTGTACAATTCTGGGGCACTTTTCTTGAGTATTGCCATTTTAGCTGCTTTATACTTCTATTCCACAACATTTTGGAGAGAAATGTTTTACTTCATTAAATTTATGTTACAGCTGTAATTACTAGTTACATTTCAGGTTAATATTTTAGATAACAACATATAAGCTTGTAAAATACAATGTTTCAGATTTAACCAGTGGATCTCAAATTAAATTGTTGGCCAAAAAAAGCAATTGTATATCTTTATATAAATATGTTACAAGTTCCACATTCTAAATCTGACTTAAGTAAAAGTACAGAAGTTTTATCAACAACATGTACTTAAAGTATCAAAAGTAAAAGTACTCATTATGCCGAGAATTGCTTATTTGATGTTGTTTATATACAGTATATATTGTCTAATCAAGTCCTCAAAACCTTATTTTCAAGAGAAATAATTCTATCTTCAGTTAAGATGTCGTTTTCATTTAAGTATGCAATGTTCTATAAATATAATAAATACATTATAAATGTAAAATAATGTACCGCTGTAGCTTCAAAAAAGAAAGAATGAACCAAATTGCTGTGTTAGAAGTATAAAAAAATTAAACTTGATTTTGTAAAACACGATGATTCGTAATATAAAGAAAACTGGAATATTCTACAGTTTCTACAAATGTAAAAAAGAAAGAAAAGAAAGAAATTAGATTTTGTGCACTGAGCAATGCATCATATTTTGATGTGAAATCTTTATCTGTCCCCGTACGCAGGATAAGCGGTTGACGATGGATGAATCTTTATCTGTGAAATAACTAGTAACCGCATGTGTCTGATACATGTAGTGGAGTAAAAAGTACAATAATTAAATTTTTTTGCAGAAAATGGAAACACAGTTAAGTAAAGTCAATAGGCTACTTGAGTGAAAGTAATTTACACCACTGTATATACAGTAATTAAAACTAGCTCCATCTCAACCAACTATAACAGTCAAATGCTGCATTGATTCTCAGTATTAACGATCTATTCATATAAAACATATAATATGTCAGCTAAGGCCATTTTTTCTTCAGAACCAGTAGTTTTACTTCTGTTAAAGCATATTTTGCTGCTGATACTTTTGTGGTCCTTAAGTAAAAGGATCTGAATACTTCTTCTGCCACTATTAAATTGATTAGTCTACCTCTTGTATTTTATTGGGAATTAAAGATATTAAGATAAAAAATGTAATATTTTATCATACGTGGGGTTCTCTTTGCGGACTTGTTCGAACTCCTTGTCCCAGATGGGTCTGCCATAGTGAGTCTTCTGTTTGAGCCCAGTGACCACGTCGGTGTCCTCGTCAAAGTGAACCTTTGCATGAGTGGCCTGGGTGAAAAATGGACAGCACAGCTGAGTTTACCCTGAAACTACCTCATACTGTTCATCTGTACTTTGGTCTGTGATTCACACACATACATGGCTTTGATCCCATCCAGTCAGGTAGAGTTTGTAGGTGAGGAAATTCCCCATTCCTCTCTCCTCCATCTCATTCTCCAGCACCTGCAGAAGGTCAGCAAACCACTCAAAGGCGTGTGTTTCCCTGCAGAGCCAGTAGAAGTAAATCTGAAACCAGGAAGCAGATGCAAATATGTTTAACAATAAGCCTCTTACAAAAGAGCTTGCAAAACTGCTGATAACTTGCCCTCGAACATGGGTGTATTGTGAAAACACATGTTATGTATTTAAGAGACAACAGGTCCTGTCTCACATCAATCAAGTGCATCAGTGTGCCAGCGGAGCGGAATGAATATACAGGTTTAAATGTCAAAAGCAGACTGGTTGGGTGCATAAGTAAATTTAAGTTGTTACCTTTCTGGTGCGCAGTTTAGGGTTGGAGACTTTGAACTTGTACCAGATGGACTTGAGGATAGAGGCAAAGGGAGTAACTCCAATGCCGGCACCGACCAACATGCTGACTTCATAGTCGAACACGTCCTCACTGGCTGTGCCAAAGGGTCCGTCCACACCCAATCTGAGGGAAAAAAATAAATAAGCTGTGTTATGAGGGCACATAAACTGCAGTCGACAACCAAAACATGGAAAAAAGTATTTAAAGAAATACATATTTACATGACCTACACACTATATTGGCATCTGCACTCCGACCTGATGTCACAAAAGGGAGGGCAGCCAAGTTAGGTCAAGTTTAACAGTAATTAATTAATAAATAAAATATGGACCCCAGTACTAGTTTTGACACTGATGTCTTCGATATGAAGAGAACTCTATTGAGAAGTTTGCGTACAACACATCAGACAACGATGAGACTTCATATCAGCGTGAAATGCAAAGTGGTGCACAGAGAACAACCTACTGCTCAGTGTCAGCAAAACCAAGGAGCTGATCGCTGATTTCAGGAAAAAGGAGATAAAGACACACACACTGTCTACATGGTGGTGGAGCTGAGGTGGAGCAGGTGAACAGTTTTAGGTTCCTGGGAATCAGCATCACAGAGAACCTGACATGGTCATCTCTAATCTCCACGCTGGTGCAGAAAGCTCAGAAGCGGATGTATTTCTTAAGAAACTTAAAAAGGCAAAATTCCCCTGCCAAGTTCTTATTAACTTTTACAAAGCAGCAATAGAAAGCATCCTGACTGGAAACATCACAAACTGGCATGGGAGGTGTATGACTCAGGACCGGAGGGCTCTGCAGCGGGTGATTAAAACTGTTCAGAATATCATTGGTACCCATCTCCCGAGCATCAGTGATATCGGTGAGGCGCCTACGTAGAGCCCAAAGGATACTAAAGGACAGTACCCACCCAGCCACAGCCTGTTCACCCTGCTGCCTCCTGGGAAGTATCTGCTGTCACACACTTAGACTACAGAGCAGCTTTTCCCTAAGGCCGTCAGTCTCCTTAATTCATCCTCAGCACTGCATCATGCAAAATTGTTTATTTCTGTATATAATTTTATAATTTTTGTTTATAATGTTTTGCTTTATGTGAGTAGCATTAAGGGAACTACAAACTTTATTTCATTATACAACCTTGTGTTGTAAAATAACAAAGAAGTCTACCTTGTTGTAACCTTGTCACCTTGTAGTATAGCTACACAAAATGTGGTGCTTTTATTTTCTCCTGCCATTTTTAAATGCAAAGCCTCTCTATGAGGCGAGCTGTAGGTGAAAATCATTCACAGGATCACAATTAGCTAGGCACGCTCCAATTAATTGTTACGTTGACATTCGTCCTTGAGGGCAAGTGGACTTTTGTGCCAAATTTGAAGCCATTAACTCAAGCCATTCCTGAGATGTCTCCTTCACAGGAATGGGCTGGACAAGCTTTTAAGACAATACAGATGAGAAGACCTTAGAAACACGCTCAGAAAAAAATTTAACATCTACAATTGTTGTTACAGTTTGTAACACTGGTTTTAAATAGATTCACTGACATTTTGCAGGAGGTGTTAACACTGTTTTTTATCTACCACTGTAGATCATTATACAGTATCTACTACTGATTCAAAGTCATTCAAACAAAATATATGCAGGGCTCTACAATCAATAGTTTAATTAATTATTTAACAGGGTTTGAGGCAAAAATCTCTTCAAAGTTCATGGAATTCCTGTGAAATTAAAAATGAAACAGGGCGATTTGATCCTTTCCCATAATAATAAGGCAGCTTAAATGTCTCTACTTTAAAATGTTTATTCATACTTTTCTGGTTTTATTTAATTTTAGTTTAAATTTAAATTTATATTTAAACTGGTTCAGGTTTTCACCAGAAAAATTTCATGTATCGAGCAGCCCAATAGTAGATCAAAATCACACTACATAATAACAATGATTAACACAACATGTTCTATAAAAAAGACATCCTGTTGGTATATGATGATTTTAAATCAATTCTTTGTGAATATGCAAATTTTTTCT